GAGAGAGAGAGAGAGAGAGATTTGAGTCTGCCGTGGTTCTTGAAAAGGCCATTCGCCTTGCCACTGAACTTGAGAAGAACAACCTTATCACCAGACCACACATGGCAATGACAAGCGTACCATGCAGCAAAAGAGGAGTGGCAGATTGGATGACCACTTCATGCACTTGCACACAAAGATGAAAACCCCAGAGCACATTAAAGAACCCTCCGAAGCTGCTCATGAATACCAGTAACAAAGCAGAATGACACTGTGAAACAAGAATCAAGCAAGAGAATGCAGCAAACTGACAGGAAAAGCAAATGCACGTGCGCTGATTGAGCGAGCGGTCGGCGCTGAAGTTTTTGCGCGCTTCTCAATCCCGCGCTCAAAGCGCCTTGAGCGGGCGCGGGGATATTTTTTTTCTCGGGTAAAAAATACGCAAAAACAATATATATAAAAATAGGGTTGTAGAACTTTTTGAGATCTACAACCCTATGTTTTTTTTTTTTTTTTGAAGTTTCATGATATTTTCAAAAAATCAAAAACATAAAAAGATGCAAGGAAAATGAGTGATAGCGAATTCCAGAAACCAAGCAGCATCATACACATGAAACCAGATAGTCTTGACCTTGAACCAAAAGCAGAATTGCAACTTGGGTTTCACCAAATAAGAGCTCAGCAAAAGCTCACAAGTGACAATGCTGGAATAGTCTCATCATCATCAACAATGAACCAATGTCGAATTCCTATCTGGCGCTCAGCGCCCAGACTACGAACGGCAGATCCTATCTAGCCTATCTACAATGCCGCTGGTGACGTCAACAGCTTCCCGAAGTACGAGCAGATCTCGGCCAATGCCGTTCGCCTCAAGCACCAGGTATGTCTCACGCTTCCCTCACAACCTCGATCCCCCCCACAGATGCCACGTGCACCCAAGGACCACCATGCTCCCCATCCAGCATCTTGCAGGCCAGCTTGGCTATGGCTGCCTGCTTGTACCCTGCTTGCCCGTGAGCGCGTGGGGGCTTGCCTGCAAATAGCGCAGCAGCGCTGGCGCAGCATGCAGAAAGTGCCCGAATGTCGAGCCCGCAGCCAGGTCCTTTCCTACATGGAATGAGGGTGCCCGTCGTGGCTGCCTGGCTGGCCTGGGCCTCCCCACGGAAGCTTCTGGTAGGCCCCAAGTGGCTGAGCCGTCCCAGGGAATCTTCCACAGGGCCTGGGGTGGTTACACGTGTCCAACTGCCAGCGGCCTGTGTTCAGTCCATGCGCCGTGTCTGGCCCAGGGCCCGCCTCAGGTACATTTGGAAAAAGGGAGCCAGGGCCTGGGCTCACTCAACCAACTGGTGCTGCGCAACTGCGTGAAGTTCCAGCTGCGTCAAATCCCAAAACAGGCCCCTCGTCACTGGACAGGCCCTCCTTCACTTAGGGCAGCTGTTCTTGTTGAAAGCAGGGCCCAGTACGGCTTACCGAGGCCTTGAGCCTCGCAAAGAAAGGCGAAAACAAAAAGAAAAAGGATGAAATGGGTGGTTTTTTCTTTTTATTCACGGAGATTGTTTGGCGGGCAACCAATAAACAAAAAAAAACAATAATAATAATAATAATTGAAAAAAATAAGGTTGTAGACAGGACCCCTTGGGGATGCGTTCGGCCATTCGGGCCGAGCGCGGACCAAAACATAAAAAAAAAGACAACAATTCAAAAAAATCTGAAAAAAAGATATGTTATGAAGACAAATAAAACAAACAACATTTGCCTCAGCATTACATCCAGATTCCTTACCAAATTTGAAATAAAAATCAAAAACAGAAAATAAAACTAATAATAAAAATAAGAAAAAATGAAAAGAGAATTAAAATTAGTGAGTGAGCGAGAACGTTTTCGACACCGCCATCTTTGGCGATTTTTTTTTTTTTTTTTTGGCACAGCCAAATGCCATGAAAATTTACAGATGTGTACTTTTAAAAAACAAAACTCACAAGAAAAAAATAAAAAAATAATAAAATTGTTTAGGCCCCGCAATAAAGTGAAAACAAAAAGTAAAAAGTGAAAAAAAACAAAATAGTCATGTTTTGACACCGCCATCTTTGGCCATTTTTTTTTTTTTTTGTTTGACTTAGGAAAATGACTTCAAAATTTATAGGCATGTATGCAAGGAAAATGAGCGATATCGAACTTCAGAAATCAAACAGCGAGCCAAAATCTCTGACCCAGTTCTCCTTAAACAGCCTAATGACGTACTCGGTCTTCGCTGTCTCTGGCATCGCAACTAACCTAGCGTACTTACTAAACCTATCCACGATAACGAAGATGTGTCTCATTCCACTCTTGCTGGTGACCAGCGTGTCCATGAAGTCCATGGACAGGCTCTCACCGGCCTTTCCAGAATCGGAAGGGGCTTAAGAAGCCCAAGAGGGGCTTGTGTACGTGGCTTGTCTCTCTGACAGACCTGACAAGTCTCCACGTACAGCTTGGCAACTCTCATCATCCTGGGCCACGAGAACTGCTGCAGCAGATTGGCTGCAGTCTTCTTATATCCAAAATGTCCTGTGGCGTCATGACACTCTCCTAAAAATAAACTACGCAAAGACTCCCGATTAGCCACACACAAACATTTATTCCCGGCCTTCTCAAAGAACAGCAAGCCGTTGACCAACTCAAAGTCGGCAGAAGTCACTTTGTCTTTCGCCTCGAGTCTGCGAAATGATCCCATACATAAACGGATCCTCGCGATAGGCTTCCACCGTAGAACGAGTGACATCGTCCACAAGCCCGAACTTAGTAATCAGCGCACCAGAGAAATCAGGCCTACGTGATAAGGCATCAACAACTTTATTGTACTCCCCCTTCAGATACTGGGGTTCGAAGTCATACTGTTCAATGACTTCGATCCAGTGCTTCAAGGCATCAGAAAGTACTGGTTGGGTTCTCATCCACTTCAGGGTCTGATGATCAGTCCTGACAATGAAGAACCTCCCAAGGAGGTAATGTCTCAAATGGGTCAGTGCCTTGTAAATTGCGTAGAGCTCTTTCTCATAAGTGGGCTTAGCCAACTTCTGAGACGACATACTTTTGGACATGTACTCAACTGGCCTCAGCTTTGGCCCCTCCTGCTGCGCTAGCACCGCACCAATGCCATATTGGTTGGCATCCGTGGTTACTATGAACGGCTTGTCAGGATCAGGAAGTTTCAAGACCTCATTATGCGTTAACACATGCTTCAGATGTCTGAACGCAGCCTCGCACCTGTCTGTCCACTCCCATGGGGTGTCAAGGCGAGTCAGGTCAGTCAAAGGGGAGGCCAGTATACTATAATTCTTAACAAAGTTACGGTAGTAGCCGAACATCCCTAAGAAAGACCTCATCTCAGTCACAGACTGAGGACACGGCCAGTCACGAATGTTGGCCACATTCGCGTCATCGGGCTTCAAACCCTCCGCAAAAATCTCATGACACAAGTACAAGATCCGGGTGCGACCAAACTCGCATTTCTCCCCGTTGATCTTGAACTTGTGCTGTCGAAGGAGACTGAGGACTTTGTCTAAGTGCGCAACATGCTCCTCGACAGTCCGACTAAAAATAAGTATGTCATCGAGGTACACGATGACAAACTTATCCAAGTAGTCATGAAAGATCTGATTCATAGCGTGCTGAACGGCCTGATGTCCAAGTGGTTAGGACAGCGACTGGAAATGCGCACTATGGTATAAGGTCGTGGGTTCAAAACTCACGGCCTGCGCGCCTTCCGTCGTTTCGCGCTTTCATAGGGCCTGGCCATTCGCACCCCCTTGAGAATGGCATGATAGCGCAGTGGTTAGCGCGACGGTTGGAAATGCACATGTGGCCAGAGGTCGTGGGCTCAAACCCCGCCTCGTGCATATGCCGCCGACGAGCATTGGACAGGATGCACATGTTGTTTGCACACTCAGTGTGTAGCAACCAGGCGCCCTAAGATGGGCACATGTGGCTGAATGGTTGTTCAGTTGTCCAGGGTCTGCGGGCTCTGGAACCTGTGCGGTACCTTTGGGCGTTGTAACGGTTGCTGCTACACTCCCCTTGGGGTTGTTGAGATCATGGGGGGATTCAACCCGTAGGGGGGTGGACTCAGTGGGGGAGAGTTCTGCCAGGAGCGATTGGACGGCCCCATCCCTAGCAGGCGTGACACTGATCCCCCGAGCACCATGCGACTTGCGGTGCCAGCGGCCTCCCGGCAGGGTGCGAGGGAAGATTACAGGCCCCTGAGTTCGGGTGGGGTTGCACCGAGACGCAGCGCCTGGGGTAGCACCGAACCCTGGGTGAAACTGGCAGTGTGTGTGGTTAAGGTCTGAGCCCTTGTCTTGAGCGATTTTGTGTGTGGGTGAGGCCACCACGCCGACGGGTTGGCTGAACATGGTGCGTGCAGCCTCCCGCCGGCTCCCCCGAAGAGTTGAATCCCCGACACCTCCACAACCCCTTTTAAAGAAAGGTGCCAGGAGCATTGCAGAGGCCGAAAGGCATCACCACAAACTCATACAGACCGCACCTGGTATGAAACGCGGTTTTGTGTTGATCCTTGGGCCGGATTGCAATCTGATGGTACCCGGACTTCAAATCTATCTTATTGAAGTACCGACACCCTTGCATTCTATCTAGCAAGTCATCGATGCGCGGTAGGGGCTCTCGATTGTTGACAGTGATGGCATTGAGGCCCGTATAGTCAATGCACATCCTCAGAGTTCCCCCCTTCTTCGACACAAATAAGACTGAGGATTCGTGAAGGGAGACACTCGGCCGGATCCAACCCTTCTCTACGAGTTCCTTGAACTGCCGGCAAAGCTCATCAATCGCCTGGAGACATCCGATAGATCCTACCCTTCGGGATATAGATCCTGGGATAATCTCTATTGCGTGGACGACCTCCCTCTCAACAACCCCTTTCGGCTCTTCAAATAGATCAGGTGATTTAGCAACTACTCCCTCTATCTCCGGCGACATTTTCACCGTCTCGCCTGCTGCAGAGACATAGATTAGATACATACCCTCCTCCGGATTTTGCTTATAATAATTATAGAACGCAGCCGCACACATGCATCCGTAGGACTCAATCAGACTACTAGCTTTGAACTTACGTAATATGGCGGTCCCCCCACTTGGCAAAGTGTGTTTGACCACTTTTCGGTCCTAGTCAAACTGGGGCTGTGCAACGGAGACGTAGTACATACCGAACAAGATATCCATAAGGAGATCATCACTAACTAGGAACGAGACGCGATGTCTCAATTCCCCTCCCGTGTACGAGAAACAACACTCAACATTCTGGAGGTAGTCATTAACTACCATGCGCTGTTTGTTGGCACAGATCGACTCCACAGGTTGACTCAGCGCTGCACTTGCCCCTGTAAGCGCAGCCTCTCAACGCACACGCAACTAATGAAGTTCCTAGTAGAGCAAGTGTCATAATAGGCCCCGGCCTTGCGGCCGCCGATGACTACCTTGCCGACGAACATCTCTCCCTTAGGGGCTTTGGCCAATGTCGTCCAAGAAGCTAGTGGGTCTGACCTAGACCACTCCTCCAACTCCTCTGAGGACTCAAACACATTCATCGAACAACTCCACGACGTCTATCGGTCGCCTTGCCTTTTTGTACTGAGGCAATGACTACTCCACCCCCTGAAGCCTCTACGCTGCCTGCCTCTGTACCCACTCCCGCATGGAAGTCACCATCCAACTCGATGATAGAACCATCGTTGTCGACGAACATAATGCGGCCCTTCGACTTCCAGTTGGGAGGCAACGATTTTTTCCTACCATCCGTCGTGGGTGTCTGTTCATGCCCTATCTTTGCTTCAAGGTCTAGGGCCTTCTTGCTAAACGAGGGAAAGTTGTGCATGTTGATGTTGGCCTCACCTGCCAATTGATCTCAGGTAGGAGGTCAAGGACTAGGGCCTTCTTGCTAAACAAGAGGAAGTTGTGCATGTTGATGTTGGCCTCACCTGCCAATTGATCTCAGGTAGGAGGTGAGTAAAACATGGGGATCATAGCGCACCCCAGGGACACAGATCAGATGCTCTACTGCGTTTGTGGACTCTCTTACTGACTTAAACTACCTATTATGCAGAGTCAACATCTCGCCAGTGGCCTTTTGAGCCTCCTGAGGATCATGCCACCTAAACCACTCAACCATCTTGTTGCACTCCCCTCTAGATAGGAGGCAGCCACAAACACTTCCTCGTGTGGCAAGGTAAGTTTACACTTGACGTAGACTAGCACTGACCTCAACCATGTGTCGAGGTTTTCGCCCCCCTTGTCCCCTGTAAAGGGTTTAGGAGCAGCGATGGCCTTCTTTGGAACCCACTGACTTTGTCCCAATCCCTGTCCCACTCCAGGCTATGGACCTTGGGAACCAGGCTGCTGCACTCTCTGCTGCTGGGGCTGTGTACCCTGCGGCTGTGCAGGCTGCGAGACAGCAGGCTGCCCACTTACGGCAACCTGCGACGGATGTTGGGAGAACATTGTCTGTACAAGAATCTGTGCACTAGGACCTGCTAAGAACCCTCCTGCTAACGGCATACCTAGGGAATCGGCTTGGACCGATGTTGGGAAGACATATGGGGATACCACAGTCACCGGTGGGACATAAGGAGGAGGTTGTACAACGAGCCACGCACCTGGCCTGGACAGCGATGGTGCTGCCTGCGCTCGCCCGACCAGCAAGGCCAGACTCCGCTGGATGTCCTGAAGGAGAGTCGTGTGGTGGTCCTGCATCTCTACAACACCTACCAGGGCTGTCCACAACGTCCTCACATCTGCATCCATGTGCGTCGGGTCCATTCCCTCTAACTCACTGATGTCCGCTTGTCTCCGCTGCATCCTGGGTCTTTTTCTAATCATCCTTTCCTTCTCCGCCTTTATCTCTCCTAAGGCCTTCTGTAGGTGTGCCTCCTGCAGTGCTGCCTGCTGTATGGCGATCTCAACAGAAGTCAACATTATTGGCTGGCTTGCCATGACGCCAGTGTACTGACTCAGGGTCTGTGCGACCGTTGACCCTACGGCCCCTGACCTGCTGGCCTGGGAACTCCGCTGCGCAGCGGTTGCCATGGCTGCTGAAGCAGCGGCTTCACTTGCGAATGCCCTGCTGACCTCCACTACCCTAGCTCTCCGCTGCTGCTGCTGCCTCTCCCTAAGCTGACGGAACAGTAACCTATCACCCTTGGGTCCTAATGCCACGTGAGCAATCGGGCGTCTAGCCGATCACAAGATCCGGTCGTCCTCACTAGTGATATCCTTGTCGCTCATAAGCTACAGAACTCTACACAATCTGCACTATGTCACTCTTTGATGCCTACCGCAGCGTAGTGCACAGGCCGATTTATAATAATTAAAATAATTAATCGGTGGCCGCATCAGAGTAGATACATTTGGGTCCACCAGGTAAGTTCGGATTCCTACAAGCGAATCTACTTTGACTTTGACTAGTTCGCAAACAGAAAGCACAATGAACAGTAAACAGTTCTAACTATGCTGTCTGTCAGATGTTAATGGCTGTACAACTAACTAATCAAAATAAAAATAAAATCATTTGTTGGTCTGTTTGCAGAATGGAATCTTGCAAACTTATCACCTGGAATCTACCCCTCCCTCAGTTCTTCCTGAATGTCTCTTGTCGTCAACGTCCCTGAGCAATCCGGACAGCGTGCGTGTCTAAAGGTGTGCACACAGCCCACCCCTGTGACCCGAGTCCTGCTGAGCTGGCCAGCCCTGCACCGTATTTATCCTCGCGTGCAACGAGCCTTACACCGACCGATTGGCTGATCAGGAGCCGTTTTTATGGACGGCCCCCGAAGTTTTCAGGAATTATTTAACGTCGCAAAACAGGACGACGATCACAGCCAATGGAAGGTCCCCACCGGTATTTATTTATAGACGTCCGGTCTCGTCTTCCCCATCGGGCTGGCCTGCCCCTCATAACCCCTCTATAGCACAGCGAGCAGACAAAGGACAACGCAGCGAAGGCATGGTGACCGTGACCCAGTGCTTCGTCCAGGGCCCTTAAGATAGCACCGCCCTCTGCTTCCAGATGCTCCACGTGAAGGCTGACGACTCTCAAGGTTGGGCGCACACGACTCCTCACATGAGAAGACTCTCAAGACAGAACACACATCCTCACGGTAAGAAGTGTCGAAGAGAGTAGATAAGGTTGGGTGCAACATACCTCAAAATAGCTGCCCCCAACCACAGATATTCTTACCAGATGACCCGATGTTGATTGTG